TTCCTTCCTTCCTTCCTTCCTTCCTTCCTTCCTTCCTTGGTTCTTTTTATGCCATTAGTTGCCTTGTGTGTTTTCAGAATGGAAAGTCAGGATAAAAGAATAAATATACTACAAAAAACAAAAACACTTTCATAAATAGATGACCAGAGTGCTCATTTCTGGCAGAAAGTCCTTTAGAGATTTTAAAAAGCATTTTACTTATATATATATAAGTATACACACACATACATACACACATACACACACACACACAATTATAATTATAATTATAATTCACTTCAGTAAAATTGTTCAAGGTTACTGTCTTTTTGAGGTGTTTTGCATCAGTTGGATAACTTCCTATGGAAAAAATAGTAAGGATGATTTACTATGACATGTCAACATACCTTATCTCAACTTGAAATGCTGTGAATTTGAGAAATATGCCCGTTTCCCCAAACTTAACAGTCAATAAACAGCTTCTTTATTTTCAGAGCAGCTCTGAACCAATGGTTTTCTCACACAGTTACCAATTTTTTCTCATCAAACCCTTAACAATAGGGTCCCTTGCAAATAATTCTGGATAGTGCTATATAAACAAGTACTAAGAAAAAAATTCAAAGGTGGAACTACATTTTAAGGACTAACCAAGTGTGTGAAATATGTAGATGAAATTCCTTCTCCTCCAGCCGTGGTGGCGAGGGAACGGTCTTCCATCTGGGAAAACACCGTAGCTGTTGTTATATGTGCAGTTTAGCCAGCTACAGTCATCAATCCATTGGGTCCAATTATAAACATATTCATCAGAAAAAACTGAAGAATCTAAAAACAAAAAGAAAAGAAATAGGAAAAAAGAAACAAGTTTTTAAAGCATTTTCTCCAATCTGGTGCCTTTCGTATGTTGGAATTTAATTCGTTCGTTTCAACAGAATGTGGAAAACTTCAGATTGGGAAATCAGGATCAAGTTTATCAAGGCTGTAATCCTAAACATAGATACTAAGAGCTTACTGGACTGATGGGGATGTTTTATTGTCTGAAGTAGAACAACAAACTGGACACGCAGAGACTTACCACTTCAAGTTAATAAGGTCACTAGTACAGTACCTACAATACCTAAAGCTAGCCAGGTTATTTTGACCCCTGAGGCAGAAAAATCCCATCTTACACCTTCCCTAACAGTAAAATACTGTAACAAAATAACAACAACAATAAAACGACAACAGTAATAAAATATTTAATTACTTACCGTTTAGGCACTTTCGATCATATATTATATTGCTGTCATTATCTTCCCTCTGACATCTGGGAAATTTTAGCATTGCAGTAAATGTCACATTGGATCCTACCAGAGCTGGGCTATCACTGGTCAAATTGGCTACTACTTTTCCCCCTGAAAAGCAATATATATATA